AGTCTCGTACAAAACGCTCGTTCTGGAGACTTCCGCGGCTCACTTTTGGAGGAAGTCTCGTACGAAACACTCATTTTCACTAGCAAATACTACCTTCGAAGCACTACCGAATGATGCAGGTTCCAAAATGAGCCGCGAAATTGGTCTCACGCTGCAGTCCCGGTGAGTTTTCTTTTCGTCTGGGTTCCAAAATGAGCCAGGTTCCAAAATGAGCCGTTTCTAGGTTCCAAAATGAGCCGTGAGTTGATCCAGGGACATCGAGGAGGTGATCCTTTGTTGCTGGAGCGTGCAAGATGTCAGAGTTGCGATACAGCAAAGATGGTACACCTATCTATGATGGGTCGTCAGACCAATACATAGCCTATACAAGCGTGCTGCATTGAATTATGTTGAAACGCTGGAATGGAAGAAACGAACACTTGCTGGACCCCGCCTGCAAGCAGTCCTTGAAGGAGCTGCCAAGATCGCAGTTCAACACAAGTCACCAGGGTGGATATCTCATGAAAGCGCTCAAGAACTGCTATCCTTTTTGAAGACCAAGGCACAAGCTCCCACATTGGCTGAAGCAGGGAAAGCAATCAGCAAGTTCTTCTACCAGGTCAAGCGTCGGAAGGGTGAATGCATGAATGCCTGGATTGTTAGGCACGATGAGGCCTTGTATGAGGCCAGAAGGACATTGGGTGAGGCCATCGAGGAATATGGACAGGGTTATTCCTCTAGGAGGTCCTCACTCATTAAGTTCTCAGCCGGAAAGGTGCCTTCAATCCATGGTAACAGCAGTCGACACTCAGGACGTGCTCAAGATCGTCAGCCTGACCGGGAGCCATTCGATGCGAATGGCAGAATGAAGGATGATGATGAAGAAGAAGATGCACTATATGAAGGTGATGAAGCAGCATGGACTTGGGAAGATCATCAATGGTGGGCTATGATGGCTGGTGGAACTACAGGGGCTGGAGCTCCGAAGACAAGGGGCATGTGACAAAGGAGACGTTGCACCAGGCCGACATCTCGGACAAGGCTTCGGAAGAAGCAGAGAAGTTCCTACCAGATTTTGTGGTAGCATGGATGCTTTGCAGCGCTCAGGACTTGACGGTTCTGAGCGAGCTACCATCATCGCAAGCCTCAAGAATGAGTTCACTACAACCAGGGTCAAGGAGGCCCTGAAATTGAACTGGACAGAAGAAGATCTACGACGAAGAGACCAGTCTCGTGGCTCAGCACTCTACATGGATGATGAGGAGGATGACATCCTCCTACATGATGAGACAACAAACAGCACCGGCACCAAACATGGATGACTGAGGAAGAGGTTGACGAGTACAACCACCTCAGTCAAGAATCAGAAGAAGCACTGGGCGCTATCCAAGGGGCAAAACGCACTTACACACAAGAAGTGCTTTCGATGTGGTGGTTCCCATTCCACTGACTCCTGCCCGAAGAAAGATGATCCTAAAGGACAACAATCAGTACATTTCACATTTGCCGCAGCCTCGTGTGACTACATTGAGCCAAAGGCTACAGACAATACAACAACAGCAGATTTTGACAACCAGATTCAAATAGCGATGGGATCGCTGCTTGACTCTGGGAAGGCCATCATTGACCCAGGTGCCACTTCCACCGTTGGAAGTGTTGATGCCATGTCCCGTGTCCTGACCATCAATGACGAACAGGGCCACCACGTTGACGTAGAAATTGATCCAACTGAAAGGCCTATAGCTTCAGATTTGGAAACAACGGACGCACTACATGCCTGTCAACGGCCCAGCTGCCAGTTCCTCTCCGAGGAGGTATGAGCACGATGAAAGTCCACGTGCGTGACATCCCCAATCAGCCCATCCTTTTGAGCATCGCTTCACTGCGAAGCCTAGGGGCAGTGACTGACTATGGCAAGAACCAGATGATCCTGACACGTGTGGACCCTCAGAGCGTCATAGACCTGGAGACAACTCCGAATGGCCGCCAAGTTTTTCCACTTACTGCTGATGTATATACCCAGAGCTTACGAAGGGAAAAGCCTTTCACGAGTTTGCTTGATCCGCACGAATAGGGACATGACCCTCTCCGGCAAAATGGAGAAGCTGACAGGCCAGAGAGGGATGTAGATAGTCAGTACAAGTGCCAAATCATATCACCAAGGTCCCAGGTTTGTGATGGTTTATCTCCTTATAAGGTGGGGTTGGTTCATGAACATGAAATCGGAAACAACGAGCCATCTCCCTTCCAAAGCAAAGAAGAAAACAACCAAACGGGTGAAAACATGTCCGGAAACCATGATTACCAACAAAAACCGACCAGTGGGACTTGCAATCTCGGGACCTCGAAGATCGATCGTTCGGAAACAGTCGCCCAAACCACAGGCGTTTGTGACACTCAAATTCAAAGCCCTCACACGTTCGAGATTTCACCTAGCTATCATGACAGGGATGACCAAGGACATTCTCCGCCAAAAGATCCAGGAACTTGGAGAAGAGCCGCCTCAGAGTTGGAGCAAGACGCAACTCGAGGCGAGGTACGTCGAGCTGAAGGACCAAGTCGCCCCATCGCAGAATTTGGCCAAATTCCTGATGATCGAATTGAACAAAGCAAAAAAAAAAAGAAGCCAGAGCTTCAGAAGCACCTCCGAGAACAGCTCAAGGTGACCCTGACTGGGAACGAGACCATTCCTCGACTTCTGGCCCTATGGGAAATCAAGCAATCATGGAACAGACCACTCCGACAGCCACCGATCTCATGGCGTATGGGAAGTCGACCTCCACCTACCAAGAGGCTTTCCAGGATCAAGGTTACGTGAACTGGTGCAAAACCATCACTGCAGAGGACCCACAGACTTGCTGGCAAATTCGCCGTTTTCTCAGTTGGATGGACAATCACTCCAATCTGCCTCCGGGATTGCCCAGGTCCTTTCTGAGCAAGCCCGAGCCGAAGAGCAAAGCGGCAACCAAGACCAAGGGTACTCAAGGGCGCATCATCGAGCCCTCGTTCTCAAGCGGCAGTGGAACCGAAACATCGTTTGTCCAGATCCCCATGCATGTGCCCATGGACGCAAGGGATCGAGGAACAGATTCTCGAGCTCCGTCGCCAGCAGTCCATGATCCGCCTTCCGAGAAAGCCGAGGAGAAGACCCGAAAAGTGGAGGACTCGCCGATCTGAGTGAGAATCATGCCTTTGCCAAAGAAACACCATCCACAGGGGACACTGAACAGCCTCTGAGTGATCACGGAAAGAAAGACATTGTTTATGGTTTTACTCGTGATTTTGAGGATGATTGGTGTCGTGTTGCTTTTGGTGGTCGTTTGAGGGTTTTAGAGGTGTGTTGTAGCGAAAACAGTGAAGTGAGCTCTCGAGGACCTGTGAAGAGGTGTTTGGCTCGGGAACCGCACAACGAGTGTCCCATATGAATGGAGGAGACATTGAAACCCCTGCCGGAGTTGCGTATGTCAAGAAACTTTTGGAAGAGAAACGGCCGGAGATTAATTGGATCTCACCCGAATGTGGACCATACTCCCCAATGCAGAACCTGAACATGAGGTCGACCGCACAACGACAGCAGCTTCAGGAAAAGAGAGCGCACGCGCTCAAACAATACCAGGGAGCATGTGAAATTGCACTTCATGCCTACAGCCTGCGCATTCCTTTTGTCATTGAACTTTCGGAAAAATGCCAAGGTTGGAATTTGGAACCCTTTTTGAACCTCCAAAAGAAAGTTGAGTGTGTGAGTGGCGTGTGCAAAGGTTGTCAGGTTGGACTTCAAAAGGGTGGCGCAGTGGCGCATGTTGGAAACCAGTAAGGGTTTAATCCAACATATGAGTCTCAAATACTCTGGTGATCATGTTCACGGTAGTTGTGAAGGAAACTAAAGGTGTAGGAAAACCGCTTTCTACGCGAAATATTTTTGCAAACGTGTGATCCAATGTTTGAAGTCAAGAGACCTTTGCCACAAAGTCACTAGGGAACTTGTGGACGGCAACGACATTGTTGGAGATATGGACCATGGATTGTTTCATGAGGATTTTCTCCAAGAAGAACACATGAGTCTTGTGATGGACCAGGAACAAAGAAGGTCATGCAGGCCCTGAGAAGGATCCATTCATCTACTGGCCACTGTAGCAAAGAGTATCTTGTGAAGGCCCTTCGTCGTCGGAACGCTACTCCGCACGCGATCGAACTCGCTCGACAGTTTCGGCGCGCGAGCTGCGAAGAGCGACGCGATGCGCCACCACGAAAACAAGCCTCGGTGGAAGATATCCCCCCAAAATGGTCCAAGATTCAGGTTGATGGAGCCAGTTGGATTCGCCCTGAAACGAAGGAACCCTTTCACTTTTTGTTGGGGATTGATGAAGGGAGTAGGTTTCGAAGAGGTAAGATACTCAAGAAAGGAAAGAAGATCAGTTTGACGGGTGAGGACTTGTTGAATATATGGAGGAGTATTGGAAACCTCTGTTTGGTCCCCCGGCGGTGGTGAAAATGGATCCTGCGGGAGCTTTTACAATTGAAATGGTTGATGTATATTTGTTGAAGAACAAGATTTTTGGAGACCTCATCCCGGCTGAAGCCCACTGGAAGCTCTCACTTGTTGAGAGAGCTTTCCAGACGACGAAAAGTGTGATGGATAAGCTTGCGTTGGAGTTCCCCGAAATGGAAAGTCGTGAAGTTTTCTTCAGAGCCCTGTGGGCCCAGAATGCTCGAGACCAATATCTTGGCTTCTCCCCTCTCCAACACGTGCTTGGACGAAGTCCCAATGAGCAGGGACACCTCCATAATTATGGATGTGATGATATCCCAACCATCACGGAACACGGCATCTCCGCGGAATTTGGGGAAGACATGAAAGCCATGAAGACGGCCGAAGAGACATTTTTGGAAGAACAATACAAGCATAGAATCGCGCGTGCGAATGCGTCAGGCGGTCGTCCGGTGAAAACTTGCAAGCCCGGTGATTTGGTGTTTTATTGGAGGAAACAGGTGGGTGGTCATGGATCTGAAATGAACAACCAAGGTTTCAAAAAGGGAGGTTTCATTGGTCCCGCTCGAGTTCTCACTGTCGAAACGAAACTTCGCGACGATGGAACCAGGGAACCCAGTGAAACATATGGATATTCCGTGGAACAAGACTGCTCAAAGTGACCCCCCAGCTTTTAAGACCAGCTAGTGAAAGGGAGGAAGCATGGGCAGAGCTCCAAGAAGATCAACCCATTCCTTGGACTTTCACTTCCATCCTTGGGCAAGGACGGAAGAAAGTGCATGATGACCTCACTCACATTCCACCGCCAACAAACATGGAAGTGGACGAAGAGGATGAACCAGAGTTGATTCCTGAACCACCTCCACCACCTCGACACCGACATCGGAGGAAAGGGCCAGAACCTGAAGTACCACCTTCAAAACACCCAAGATTGCAAGACCAAGAGGATGACATCCTTATGGCTTTGAGCTCACCCACACCAGCAACTCATCTCGAAGAAGAAAATGGGTGCATACTGGTCTCCATAGACCTTCCGACTGGGAAACAAGGTCGCAAGGGCATGTGGATGCGAGATCTCGGCGCCTACATAGTCAGACCAGGAAAAACCATGTGGAGGTAAGTGAAAAACGACTTACACCTGAAGAACTTCAGCAACTCAAACTCAAACAAGCCAAGAGCAAAGAAGTGAAGAACTACATCCTTGCCGAAGTCTTCAAGAAGATTCCAGAAGGCCTGAAGCCTGATCCGAAACAGATCCTGCGAATGCGATGGATCTTGACATGGAAATGTGACAAAGAACAACCAGACCAAAGAAAAGCTAAAGCCAGGGCAGTCATTTTGGGCTACCAAGACCCTTTGTATGAATATCGACCAACAAGTAGCCCTACGATGAACAAAAGCACAAGGCAATTGTTCTTGACTCTCTGTGCAGCGCATAAGTTCACAGTCGAAAAGGGAGACATTTCAGGTGCATTTTTACAAGGCCGTGAATTTCAAGACCAACTCTTCATTGAACCTCTCAAAGAAATCACAGAAGCATTGGAATTACCGGAAGGAACAACCATGAGATTGGCAAAGGCCGCATACCGTCTGGTACAAGCACCATTGGAGTTCTACCTTTCAGTGGACGAGTTTCTGGAGCAACAAGGGTTCATTCGACAAAAGTCGGACCCCTGCTGCTGGGGTCTCTACAGTGAAAGACAGGAGCCGATCGGATGGATCTGCTCCCACGTTGACGACTTCATGTTTGGAGGCTCAGCAACAGACCCTCGTTGGAACCACATCAAGAAAGCTATTACCACCCGCTTCAAATTTGGAGAATGGGAAAGGAAAGTTTACTCAATGTGGAGTGACAATTGAACAACGAAGTGACTTTTCCTTTCAGCTTTCGCAACGTGAGTTCCTTGACCAGGTATCAGAGATATACTTGACAAAGCAGAGATTCGAGAACCCCGACGACAAAGCCACCTCGGATGAGCGACAACAGATGAGAAGTGTTTTGGGTTGTCTAGCTTGGCATGCGGGCCAATTGGCCATGGAATGGGGTGCGCCTACAGGACTTCTCCTCTCCAAGTCGTCGAAACAAATAAGCTGTTGAAGAAAGCCAAACAAAGACAAGGACAGAGCATGATCATCCACACCATTCCTAAGGAAGAAATCATCCTTGCCACATGGGTGGACGCCGCACATGGAAACCGCCAAGATGTGAGCAGTACCAAAGGAGCATTATTAGGCTGTACTTCACGAAAGCTGCTTGAAGGAACCCTCGAACCAGTGAATCCCGTGTTTTAGAGCTCATCAAAAATTCATCGTGTTTGCCGCTCGAGCGCATCCGCCGAAACGCGAGCTGCCGTCGACGGAGAGGGCCAACTTTACGCCATGAGGTTTCAAGTTGCGGAGTTTTGGGAAAACATGCTAATATTTGGAACTTGAACGAGACGGTGAATTTTGTTGAAGGAGTGCTCATAAGTGATTCTAAGAACCTTTATGATCGCTTGAGCTCCACCATTTGGACCCTTTCTGGAGCCGAGAAAAGAAGTGATATCGAACCCCTCTGTTTGAACGAGGCCTTGGAAGAAAATCATGTTCATCTCCGATGGGTCAATCGAGAAAGCCAATTGGCAAACCGTTTGACCAAACTGGACGAACCTCAGCAAGTCCTGATGTTCAACGACAGGAACGGGAGATGGCGGATTGTTTACGATGAGGGGTTGGTTTCTGGTCGTAGGCGAAAGCAACAAGGAAAAGGACCATTAGATTGACTTGGCACTTTAGGAGTACCACCTGTGCAGAATTTCATTCAGAGTCACATGTCCACTTGTGTCCGGTGGTCATGGATCAAGCGCCACCCCCGTTTGCCGAAAAGGCATCGATCGTCGCGTTTGCGCCAGTGAGCTTCGCATATATATATATATATATCCGTGCCTGCCGTACAAAGGAATGTGCACCTTTGATCCCCCCGGTTCTCAGGCAGAGACACGGACCTTCAGCGGCTCAGCGGTGCTTGAGGAGGTGCAGCAGACGTCGGTGTCGGTGGGCGAACGTGGGAGCCAGGAGCTTTGGAAGTGCTGAGCGTTGGATGATTCCGACTCTGCGAAAAAGTGTGCAGATGTTTCAGATGATCAGATGGTCAGTAGATGTGAGACTTAGCACATCTTCTGGCGGCGTTCCGTCCTGTGTGTGGGACTTGGTCGGGACTGCGGAGCCGCGGAGCCAGAACTTGACCTGTTTGACAAAGCGAAGCGTGGATCGGTTTGCTGCTTTCAAAGAGGTCAACAGCCCTGTTGCAGCCAGGATCTCCTTTCGCTGAGTTTGGTGCTCTCCAGTGATGGCCTTCAACTTGCTGGTACCATGGCCTCCCAGGACTGAAGGGAAGTTGTGGCCCGGGCCCTTTCAACGGCCGGTTGGTTTTCCGGCGGTTTCTTCTACGGCCGGCCGGGCCGCGAAAAGCCAAGCAATGGCCATGGATGGAAGTGGGATTCACAGCAGTTCTACGGGTACTGGGATCCAATGGGATCCAAGATGATTAAAGCTAAAGTGCATGGATGGATTGACGGCTTTGGTAGAACAAATAGGGGGTTGGGGAGATCCTCTTGGTTTGAGAGACCAGGTAGGCCAGGATAGTTCTGCAGTTGGACAGACTTCTTTGATGCCAACGAACTTTGTTCCCTTCTGCCTTCTGCCTAGTTAACGAGTTAACCCTTTTGATCAGCATTTGTCAAAGCATCCCGTATCCTATCGTATCCTAAGCTACTGACCCCAAGAGAGTCACTGGTTCCTAAAGTTCAGAGGTTGTGTGTGGTACAATGCTTGGCCTAGACTTTCCCAAGTAGAGTGCTTGAATCATCTTGAATTCAAGCACATTGATACCCCAAAGATGATACCCCGAGGCTTGGTTTCCAACATTGTGTCCCAAGTGAGATGCATTTCTTTGCATTTGCACTTCCTCCAGCACCGCAGGAAGTGTCCTTCCGACGCATGACGAACGAACCTAGCTTTTTGTGGTGTAGTGGCTCAGCTTGATGCAAGACATAGATGGCTCTGGGAGTTCGAGCCAAATCGGGACGACGAACGAAAAACCGCTCCTTCCTCCAAATAAAAATCCTCGTCGCGGATCCCACCCGAGCTGATGTTTCAAACCAGTCAGCTGGTCACCTAGCTGGTCCAACAGGAACCTGTTTTGGACCTGTTGGAGTTGAAAAGTCGGACGATGTTCGATGCAGAAAGGCATTTTGCAGCGCCGTTGGATGATGTAAGCCTGCATTGGAATTCAATCATCGATTTCTCTATCTCACATCAGGTGATGCAAATTTCTTTGAACTGCTCTCACGACATCAAGTTGGCCCTCAATCGCATCCACATCAGGGTCCATTCCAAAAGCAAGTAAAAATAGCTCCTCACAGAAAGCTGGTGAGGATTTTGGAGGTAGGGGCATACTATGCGGCATGCAGGAGGAACATTTTCGATGATTTGGATCTTGAGCCAGTGATTTTCTGCTCATCATGCTGCCCAGGTTCAGATGTTTCCCTTTTCAAGGACTGGGTAGGCCTATATTTTACTTGGGCTTGAGCATCTGAAAGGAAGGATTCTTTGTTCATTCAACCTGAGCATTGAGCATATAGCTATATTAATATATATATAATATATATCATTATATATCCGTAACTATCCCGGACTGAAACGAAAGCGGGCTTTGGTGACACAGCGTGAGACACGTGTTCTGTCTCCCAGGAGACGGTGTTTTTTGTAACCCCCCCTTTGTTACTAGTAGCGTCCTTGCTCCTAGTAGTAAGGCCAGGAGCCCCTAGTAGCGTCCTTGCTCCTAGTAACCTAGTAGCGATGCCCTTGTTACTAGTAGTGTCCTTGCTCCCAGGAGCCCAGCTTTTTGAAGCGCATCAGGGTGACCTACAACAAGAACCAGAAGGCCTTGAAGAGATGCGCCTAACGCGAGGGGTAAGAGTGGTACGGGTTTGGCGTTGGCTTTGGGGGGAGTACAGGGTGGTGGATTTTCCTGACTGCAACAGCTTGATTTCTTCAGTCTTCTTGTTTGCATTGACGCCTCCCAGTGGTAGTAGGGGTAGGTATGAGTAAGGGCAGTTATAACCGCCAATACCAACTCATTGGGCTTTACCTCATGCCTCTTGATGGATTTAAATATTGTGCTTATGCTGCCACTTTCTGAACGAATAGATCCAAGACTTATATAGTTAAAATTGGTGTGTATATTATATATATATATTTTTTCGTTTTTATCCTTGATGGTTCTCGATGGTTGAGGAAGAGAACTCCCAACCAAGTTAAGCTGCAGAGCAGACAGCCCAAAGATTCAAGCTGGCAAAGGTTGAGGAATCGTGGGCCTTTCGAGCACTGTTTCTTGTTTGCGTCAATTTTCCGACACCAGTGCTTCCCGAATTGGAGAAAATAGAGCAAATTGCACGCATGGCTACTGCTGAAGCCAAGCAAAAGTGTCTCCAAACGCTGCACGTCCGCGAACGGCGCATCGCTCCGCTCTTCTTCGCGGCGCCCAGGCCTCGGAGGAACTGCGCTTTGCGCTGCACCGGCGCTGGCCGTTCACCCCAATCGTGCTGGAGGGCTTTGGCACGCCTTCCGGACCGGCACAGGCGAACGGGTGAGGGAGCTGACTGCAGAGGGGAGACGAAGTAGGTCATTGTGGGCAACTGATGAACAGGAAGCAGTTGTTGATTGGCCGGATAGACCATTCCAGAATCCTGGAAGGACCCTCTTAATAATCTGAATGGAGGATCTCAATGCAGTTTCATTGTTGCACTGTCTTAAAGCATATTTATGGCATGCTTTATGACTGAATGAACTTGGAGTGCTTTTCTAGGATATACATGGCAGACTCTGGAAGAAAAGCGTGCCGGTCCGTTGACGTAACCACAAGTTTGAACATCCCTCCTGTGGACTTGGTGGAATCTTCCATTTGCAGGTCTTCCCTAAGATCATCTAGAATCAACATGAACAATGGAAGAGTTCCCCACAATATGTGCTCTCCACAACTCGACTGAGGAAGTCCGCATATCCCCGATCTCTTCATTCACATGTCCTCCGACGTGGGAAATTTGGAGAGAAAAGATATCGTGCTACTAATGGTTCCCCCAGCTGCTTCATGCCATGCTGAGAAAATCAATGAAGAAGAATGAGATGAACAAAAGAAGGTATGGCCCCATCTCGTTTGTTCATCTCTTCATATCAGTAATTGCTCGTACCATGTGTCAGTTCCAATTCAGTTCACCCTCATCCCATGTTTTTTCGCTTAAAACCTGCCAACTTCTTGGCCGCCTCGACAGCGGATCACGGACGCTTTTGGCGTCGGATGTGGGTTTCACCGCTTCTCCGTTTCGGATCCTGTTTGAGGCAGCGAAGGTACGATCTGGATGGTACTTGGCCCCTGCCTGAGCTGGTCGGCTTGGTTTTAACGTGGACGAGCTACTCTGAAACGTGGAGAGGGAATAGCTTCATATGACAGTGATTAATTAATGAGAAACTGCCGGTTGACATCAGGGTCTGGAAATAGTGGAATACAGGATAACTAGAACCTCCAGAACACAATGACACTGGAATATTTGGGAATACCAGTTTGATAGACATACTGATTGTCAAAGGTGTTGGTTGTGGACCGAAGCCCCTATAGCATCGCCAAAATTACCCAAACGCAGCCTTTGTGGTGGATGAGGAACATGGTGTTTTAAGTGATCTCCCGGTCGCACTTGTTTTCATGAACCCTGGGTGGTATTGTGATGTGTGACACTTCTGTTTCTCGCATCGGTGGGCTTTATCGTTTCGAGTGCGCTGTGAGATCGAAGGATCTGACTCGCACCCGCATGGTTCACCTCTTCAAGGTGCGTCCAATCATTGGCTCCCAATTTAATAGCTTCTAGCTAGTAGTAATGGCCTCCAACCTAGCTTCTAGCTACTAGTATCTACTAGTATATTCCTCAGTCTGACTCCCCTGATTGCATCGTTTCAGCTGTGATTCTCGCAGTCAAACCCGATCAACCATCCTGGGCTTCTCCCAGGATATCAGGGCGACCTTCTTCGGTGAACGCTCCCGCATCTTTCAGGACCGGCACGGATGTGCGCTTGCACACGGGCCACTGCTCTCTTTCAGGTGTTTTTCGTGTATTGCTGACGCGTGGATGCTGTCAAGGTCCTCTCTACAGCGACTGGAAGAATACGTTTTTCCATGGTGGAGTTAGGATCTGACAGGGACAGGGTCTTTTTTTTGTAGTTCCTGGCTTCTGTGGGGCTGCCACTCACTTGCCAGCATTAAAATATACTTGTTGATGCTTCGCAGAACAAGTTGTTTCTGGCAGAAACTGGACAGTTAACAGTTAAAACGATCCTACCATTTCTGGTCATGTTGTAAGCACGTCAATGCCACATGTGTTTTCTCGAGCATTGATTGATACACGCGGTCACAAGGTACATGTGTGCTGGAGAATCGGTGTTGCTTGTTCCATGTTGTCCATTCTTACAGGGGCAAAATAACACACTCATGAACTCCGACATCATTGCAATGATCGCCTCCTGGTGCCCTGCTTCCTCAATACGAGTTAATTTTGGTTTAGCTGCACCATGCCTCAATGTTCCACCCATGTGTGCTCCTGTAGGACCTGGCTGCCCACAGCAACGTCTTGGAAAGCATCGACGAGGCCTACAGGCGCAGCACAGCCCATTATAATCTGAGTGGCAGTGGCGAGTCTCAAAAGCAGAGCAAACGGATGGACGTGATAGAGTGGGTAATTGGACCTCAAATGGAATGTGATATACGTGATCTTTATGATTGATGGAGTGATTGAGCAATTGGTTGATTGATTCATTGATTGAGTTAGACAGACAGACAGACAGACAGACAGACAGACAGACAGAGAGACAGACAGAGAGACAGACAGAGAGACAGACAGAGACAGACAGAGACAGACAGAGATAGAGACAGAGACAGACAGAGATAGAGACAGAGATAGACAGAGAGGTAGATACTGGTAGATGGTTTGTACACAAGAGTGCCTACGTTACATGTTGATCCTTCCTGCTGTGTGCCACCTGTT